CCACGGGAACCCGGCCCCCCTTCTTCCCACCTGCAAGTGGAAAAGGGTCTGGCTGCCTCCTACCGACTTGGGCAGCTCCCTGGGGGCAGGGCAGCTCCAGGCGGGGGTGGGATTGCGTTCTGTGGGATCCTTAAGAGACCACAGGTGTGGCCGCCGTGCTGGTCAGGAGCAGGCCAGTTGGAAGGAGGAGCTGAATTTGCTGCCCTGGCAATGGGTCCAGACCTGCTGCCTCCAGCTGAGCTTGGCAGGGCTGAGGACCGGAGAGAGGACCCGCCAGGAGGGGTAGAAATGGATGATTATTTTGGTAAATTTTGGCAAATATCTTTTGCATTAACTGGTTCAGATATAGTCTTTCTCAAAATATTTGAGACACAAGTGAAACCTCTTCCACAGTCCCTTTCTCTTCCCTCTCGGAGGGGGGGGATTATTATCTTGATTTGGGGGCTCTCCATGCATGTTTTTATAGCTTTACAACACTTGGATTATACATTATAGAAACCCTTACATAACATATAAGGCATTACCCTGTAGCGTGTTTTCTGGCTCAGCATCGTTTTGAGGTCTGTTCACGTTGGTACATGCAGGTATAGATCATTAACTCGTTGCTTTCACATTCCATTGTATGATGATGATGATTTATCCTTTCTCCTGTTGATGGATGAGTGGCCACTGATTTGGGGCTGTTAGGAACAACTCTTCAGTGAGCGTTTTTGTCCATGGCTCCACGTGTGTGTAACGATTCTCTGAGATCTCAGAGAGGAGTGGCTGGATTGTAGGATGTGTGCATCCTAACCTCAGGTAGGAATTCAGCATTTTGCCAGTCCCAGTGGAGTGAAATGGCATCTGATTGCATTCCCTGATTAGTAATGAGGTTAGGAATTAATTTCATATATTAATTTCCATTTGCATTTTTTCTTACGATTGTCTATTCATTTTTTTTCCAAGACATTTATTTTAGAGAGAGAGTGAGCGAGCGAGCGCACATGCATGTGCACGAACTCATGGGGGGGTGGTAAGGGGGGCAGAGGGAGGGAAGGAGGGAGAGAGAGGGAGGGAGAGAATCTCAAGCAGATTCCCTGCTGAGCGCGGAGCCCAACTCTGGGCTCGCTCTCACGACCTGAGATTGTGACCTGAGCTGAAATCAAGAGTCAGATGCTGGGCGCCTGGGTGGCTCAGTTGGTTAAGTGACTGCCTTCGGCTCAGGTCATGATCCTGGGGTCCTGGGATCGAGTCCCACATCGGGCTCCCGGCTCAGCGGGGAGCCTGCTTCTCCCTCTGACCCTATCCCCTCTCATGCTGTTTCTCTCTCTCAAATAAATAAATAAATAAAATCTTTAAAAAAAAAAAAAGTCAGATGCTCAACTGACTGAGCCACCCAGATGCCCTATTTGTGTATTTTGCCATTTCTTTCTATTGGATTGTCTCTTTTCTTGTGTTTGTAGGAGTTCTACACTTGATCTTAGCCAAAAGGCCGAGAAACAATTGTAGGAGTTCTGTATTTGTCCTGGATAGTAATCCTTTGGTAGTTATGCACATTGCAAATATCTCTAACAAGTCTGTGGGTTCTTTTTACTTATTACGTTCTTCGATGCACATATATTATAACTTAATGTGATCAAAGTAGCAGTCTTCTCCTGTAAGGATTCATACTTCTCCTTTTTTTTTTTTAGGATTCATACTTTTCCAATAAGAAATCCTTTCCTCTCCTAAGTTGATCTCTTAGCTCTTTTTTTAAACATTTTCAGGTTTTGGCTTAGGTGTTCAGTTCATTGGAATTTTTTTTCATATAAGGAAGTGGATGAGGCTATGCTTTTCTCAAGTGAGTAGCTGACAGCCAACTCTGTTCAGGGATGCCCATTCTTTCCCCCTAACCTGCAAAGCCAACACTGTCATGCCTGTTTCCGGACATTGCAGCATCTGTTTCTATGCTTGCTTTTCTGTTCCTGTGGTCCATCCATCTATCCCTACATTAGCACCACATCGGCAAGTCTCCTCCCACCTTGTTCTTCCAAATTGTTGTAGCTATTCTTTTTTTTTTTTTTTTAAGATTTTATTTGTGAGAGAGAGAGAGCGCGAACGTGAGCAGGGGGAGGGGCAGAGGGAAAGAGAGAGAGAATCTCAAGCAGACTCTGTGCTGAGTGTGGAGCCCAACTCAGGGCTTGATCCCACAACCCTGAGATTGTGACCTGAACCGAAATCAAGAGTCAGACACTCAACTGACTGAGCCACCTGGGCGCCCCTGTTACTTACTTTTGTAGGTCACATACTCCAGACGGTTTTTTTCTCACCCAGTCATCTGGTGTCTTGCTCTAATGCGTTTTTATTATTTCACATATTCTATCATCTGATCATTTAATAAGTATTTAACCAGTCAGCCCATAATGGGCACCTGGGTGGTTTCCAATTTTCCTAGGGCATAAATAACACTGTGATGAACATTCCTGTAACTGATTCTTGTCCTAGAATCTTTCCCAGACAATTGGCATCCTCCCTCCTCCTGCGTCCTTCCCGGGCTCCGCCCAGTTCAGCAGGTCTTCTCTCCACCATATTCTGGTTTCTGCATAAGGGACCCGGATGAACCTAGAGTGGCCATTGCACTGTGGGACTCCTAGCCTCCCGAGCCCCCGGCCCCTGGGTGATCTCTTGCCCACTGCCTCCCAAGCTTTTCTTGGGTGCAGCCAGGGGTCTCCCACCTCACTGGTGGATGTTAATCCCTGACTTCTAGGAGGGCACAGTCTCCAGCTCAGAGTGAGGCCTCTGTTCCGGAAGAAGGAAAAGTAGCTGGACCAGAACTCAGGGGACAGCAAGGCACACACATTGCCTTATTGTCTTTTCTCAGCTGCCTGAGTTCAACCCGTTGATCTTTGTCCTCTCTTCAGGATCCTCTCCAAATTCCCCACCTCTTGGGACAGAGACCTGACCTGATCTGACCCAGCTCCCCATTGCCCTCCCCAAACTGCCCTCTCAGAGCTTCACATGAGGGCCGATTCTTTCTTTCTTTCTTATTTTCTTTCTTTCTTTCTTAGATTTTATTTATTTATTTGAGAGAGAAAGAAAGCTTGAGAGAGAGATCACATGCAAGGGGGAGGGGCAGAGGGAGAAGCAGACTCCCTGCTGAGCAGGGAGCCCGATGCGGGGGCTCAATCCCAGGACCCTGAGATTGTGACATGAGCTGAAGGCAGACGCTTAATGACTGAGCCACCCAGGCGCCTGCTTGGTTTCTTTCTCTTTCTCTTTTCTTTTCTTTTCCTTTTTCTCTTCTCTTCTTTCTTCTCTGTTTCTTTGGAACGCTGATATTTTTTCAATCACAAAGATAATGCACGCTGGTTAAAAAAAAAAGTTTCCTTTCATTCGGTTTCTTATTCCCACTCCGAGAGGGCGTCCCTCCGCACAGGGCAGGGACTGTTGGTCAAGGGTTTATCAGAATGGGACTGTATTTATTTATTTTTCTGGATCTCGCTTTTTTCCACATTAGTATTACAAACAGAGCTCCTTGGTTCCATTGAAAAGGCCACGGTGCGTTCTAGTGGCAGGAAGTGCTTACTGCCCGCCTACTGTGGGCCAGGCCCCGCCTACCTGTTTCTCTGCCAGGTGTCTGCCGGCCCTGCGGGTGCTTTGCTTCTTCCATTTCCTTCCTTTCTGGTCCTGTTCTGTGCACTTTCCAATCACCCCTAACTGTCTGTTGAAGTCAGGATTGCTCTGGGGGGCCAGGCCCGTGTCTGCTTCAGCCCCCTTCCACAGATGGGGGTGCTAAGGCTCAGAGACATGAAGACGCCTGCCCAGGGTCACTCCAGCACCCAGGGCAGAGGCCCGACTGGCCCAGCCGTCCCTCCAGCGCTAAGTTCACGTCATGTAGCTCAGGGCTTGCTCTCCACCTGACCCAGGGCCCACACACAGGCAGTTTGGGAAGCCTCATTTCTGTGCCTTCTTTTTTTTTTTTTTTTTTAATTTTTTTTTTTTTAAAGATTTTATTTATTTATTTGAGACAGAGAGAATGAGAGAGAGAGAGAGAGCACATGAGAGGGGGGAGGGTCAGAGGGAGAAGCAGACTCCCTGCCGAGCAGGGAGCCCGATGTGGGACTCGATCCCGGGACTCCAGGATCATGACCTGAGCCGAAGGCAGTCGCCCAACCAACTGAGCCACCCAGGCGCCCATTTCTGTGCCTTCTGATAGTCTTGAAAGCTTGGCGGGGTTTCTGTTCCCACGCCCCTAGTTTATGGATGGGGAGACCAATGTGCCACCTTCTAGGAGAGGAGTCCTGGCTCCTGGACACGCTGTTCCCTCCCTGCCGGCTACACGCAGGGGTGGCCAAGACAAGGGGATGTCTGGTGGCGTCAGCAGCTCTAGAATCAAGCCTCGCTGGCTGACCTCAGGGTGGGACGCAGTCGGAAGGGAGGCATCCAGGGTGGGCACAGGCCTGGGATCACACGCCCCTGGGCACCTCGACCACCTTTTTTTTTTTTTTTTTTTTTAAGATTTTATTTATTTATTTGGAGAGAATGAGAGAGAGAGAGAGAGAGCATGAGAAGGGGGAGGGTCAGAGGGAGAAGCAGACTCCCTGCCGGGCAGGGAGTCCGATGCGGAACTCAATCCCGGGACTCCAGGATCATGACCTGAGCCGAAGGCAGTCACTTAACCAACTGAGCCACCCAGCCGCCCCCTTGACCACCTTTTGCAAACTGTGGTCACATGCACGACAGAGTCTCTGCTCTGGGACAGGGAAACAGGCCGTGGGAGAGAAGCTGTTCCACACGTCTGCTAGGAGGCCATACCGGTTAGGGAGGGCCCAGTGCAGGGAGGGGATGAACACACTGCCTGCAGGAAATGCCCTGAAAAGGGTGCTTTCTGTAACTGGGAAGGAAGATCCCCACTTCCTTGGGTCTGTCCGTTTCCCTGTGGTGCTCTCCTGACCGGACCGGCTGTGTCCCAGGGCAGCTGCTATGTGGGATCTGCTCTAGCGGCGTGCCCCATGGAGGCGCTGCATGCCTGGGCTCCCCCGTGGATCTGGCTTTGAAGGTAGGCCTCTGTCACTTACAGGTGAAGTTGGGCACATGGCTTCTCTCTCTGAGCCTCGGTTTCCCTATCTGTAAAATGGGTATGGGGAATATTTCGGCCTTAAAAAGGAAGGGAATTCTGACATCCATGCTAAAACATGGATGAGGGCTTTCTATTAACTGAAATAAGCCAGACATCAAGAGACCAATACTGTTACAATTCCACCTTTATGAAGTACCTAGGGCAGTCAACTTTATAGAGACAGAAAGTAGAGGGGCACCTGGGTGGCTCCGTGGGTAAAGCGTCCGACTCTTGATTTTGATTCAGGTCCTGATCTCAGGGTTGTGAGATCAAGTCCTGCATCCGGCTCTGTGCCGGGCGTGGAGCCGGCTTAAGATTTTCTCTCTTCCGGGGCGCCTGGGTGGCTCAGTCATTAAGCGTCTGCCTTCGGCTCAGGTCATGATCCCAGGGTCCTGGGACTGAGCCCCGCATCGGGCTCTCTGCTCCGCGGGAAGCCTGCTTCTCCCTCTCCCACTCCCCCTGCTTGTGTTCCCGCTCTCGCTGTGTCTCTGTCAAACAAATAAAATCCTTGGGGCACCTGGGTGGCTCAGTCATTGGGCATCTGCCCTTGGCTCAGGTCATGATCCCGGGGTCCTGGGATCGAGGCCCGCATCGGGCTCCCTGCTCAGCGGGAAGCCTGCTTCTCCCTCTCCCACTCCCCCTGCTTGTGTTCCCTCTCTCGCTGTTGCTGTCTCTATCAAATAAATAAAATCTTAAAAAAAAAAAAAGATTTTCTCTCTTCCCCTCTTCCTCTGTCTCCCACCCCATCTCTCTCTCTCTCTCTCTCAAAAAAAAAAAAAAAAGTAGAATGGTGGTGGCCGGGGGCTGGCGAAGGGGAAATGGGGAGCTAGAGTTTACCTGGGGACAGGGTTTCAGTTTAGCCAGACGGAAGCCTCCTGGAGACCATGGTGGTAGCGGCTGCACAATGGAATTATATACTGAATTATACACCTAAAAAAGTTTAAAGAGGTAAATTTTATGCTATGTATATATTACCCGAATAAAACAATCTTGAGAAAAAAAATGGGTGGGGGCGCCTGCCTGGCTCAGTCGGTAGAGCATGACTCATGACTCTTGATCTCAGGATTGTGAATTCACCACGTTGGGTGGAGAGCTTACTTTAAAAAAAAAAAAAAAAAACACACAAAAAAATGGTGCCAGAACAATGTGCATGTCTTGGACTTGGCTATGAGTCTTCAGTCTGGGAACGGGAGCTGCTCCCCGCCTCCGTGGGTGTTTAGTGCCCTTGAGTCACTGGCTCCTGGAGCTGGTCCCTGCGTGGAGATCCCTACCTGGGGGATCTGTTTCCTTCCCCAGGGCCCTCTGGGTTGGGAGGGCCGGGAACCTCTGCTTCCTCCCCATCAGGATGTGTAGCCCTGCCCACATCCACCTGAAACTCACTGCTGCCCTGCCTCCCCGCCACACCCGGGCCCGGCCCTGTCCTGCCCCCCTCTCACGCCCTCTCTTGAGACCCACTGATTTTGTTGAGTACCTACCGTGTTCCGGAGACTTCTGCCCTGAAGGGGCATGATGAGGAGGTGCCAGAACTGCCTGCCTGTCCCACTCTGCGCTAAGCACGGTGAAAGCCTACAATTCTGTGGACGCTTCCCAGCAGCACCGTGAGGTGTTTGTGCAGAACCTGGGGCCGAGAGCCAGTGAGGTCCTCACCCAAGGCCCTGCAGTGAGGTCAAGGCGGGCAGAACCCAGCTCAGCCTTCTTGGCCCCTGGCTTCCCCCCCCATCCTCAGCAAGAGCTACTTGAGAGCAGGCTGCCCCAACCACCTAGCTGTTTCTTCTCGGGGGCCTGGTTGCGGGGCAGGCGCCCCTTCCCTGGCATCCCTGCGGACTAAGGCCTGGGGTTTGGCACCTGCGTCTTCTTCCCAGTTTTCTCCCAAAACCCCGTCAGAGAGAGGCGGTGACGTGTCCCAGAGTTGCACAGTCGGTGGCAGAGTCGGTGGCAGAAACACGGGGCAGCTAGAGGGTGATCCCCACCCTCCAGACAGGCCACCCCCTCAAGGTGGGTCCTGCGCTGGCCTCCCAGCTCTGCCTTCCCGAGCCAGGGTGCCTGGCTCTGTCCCCCACACCTCCACGAAGGCCTTCTCAGCAGGGAGGTGGCATCTGTCTCTTGGGCTGTAGCCCCAGCTGCCCCTTGCCCTGTCCCAGGCTCTGCCTCTCCCACTGCTGCCCACACGCTCACACTGGACCGAGAGGCCCCTGAGGCGTGGACACACCTTGGTCATTTTTATTGTCCCCGGAGGGCTGAGCCAAGGGCGGGATGGCAGCGAGTTCAGGATGTGCTGGAGACCGGGTGTTTGGGGCCGGGGGAGGCTAAGAGCCAGCCGAACCAGACCGGAACAGACAATGGATGGGGCTGTTTCCTCCCTCTCTCAGCCTCCCATTCCCTCACCTGTAAACGGAGCAGTGAACAGTTTCCACCTCGGAAGTCAAGAGGCGACATGTGCAAAGAACGCCCCGGGTCAGCAGGGGCCCAGAGGCAACTCCTCACTGGAGTGTCCTCGCTGGGATGGCACACCCACTCCCTCCAAAACTGGGAGGCTGTAACCACATCCTGCCTGGTCATAAAGTGCACCGCCCCCGGTGTCTGGCGTCCTCTTTCTGGACACTGCAGGGGCAGGCTGTTGCATGCCCTCAGGCCCTCTGGCTTGGCCCCTCCTCCCTTCCTGTCCCCAGCCTTTGGGTGCCTGCCTGGATGTGGACTTGGGGAACTGGGAAGGGAGGGACAAGTGTCCGGGTTTCTTTCAGCTGGAGGCCGGCTGTATGATTCAGCGGGCCCTCCCCTGGAGTGCCCCTTTCCCAGGAGTGTGGGTGGTATGAGGAGCCAGCTGGTCATTAGAGGCCCGGGCCTTCCTGTGGGGTGGCCATTCACCCTGGCCTGTGAGTCCTGGCCTCACCGGGAAGGCTGACCTCTGGGCTGGAGCTGGTGGCCCAGGGCGGGTGGTGGCATCTGCTGGCCCCATCGTGACCTGAGTTCTGGGAACCCCAGGGGACAGGGAAGCTGGACTCCGGGGCGTGGTCTCTTGGCATAGTCAGGTGGACAGCGGGCCCGTGCAGCAATGAAGACACAAATGGGGAGGTGGAGGGACAAGCCTGGGTTTGGTCTTGACTCTGCCCTGAAGAGTAGTAGAGTGACGTTGGGCCGGTGACTTTACTTCCCTGAGCTTTGCTCCTTACACACACGTGTGGATGCACACAGCCAGAGATAATATCATAAATGTGATGTCATCTAGCGTGGGGCGGAGACCAGTCTTGTTTTCTTGTCCTTTCTCTGCCCGGCCCCACCCCTTACCGTGCGTGCGTGTGCACGTGTGTGTCTGTGTCTGAGTCTCTCCCCTCAGGATCCTATATGGACATAATTACAAGCACCCTCGCAGAATTTTTTAAACTTCCCTATTTGTTTTACAAAAGTGAGTTCACATCGAGCCCCCTCTTGTACATTTAGATTTCCCACACTTTGAGGGAACCTCTTCCGGTCACTGGGGCAGGGTCTCGGCAGCTGTTTCCAAGTGAACTGAGAGTTTTCAACACGCCCCTCTGGTCAGTCTGATCATGAACAGGATGGAGTCTGGCCAGGAATTCCCGAATGCTCCCGCTGGAATGCAGAGGGAGGCCACATTAGCAATCTGTTCATGTGGCTCTTGACTTCGGTGCTCGGTCTCCGTGTCTGTTAAATGGGGAGACTGCCTGCCTTCCCCGGTGGTGGTTTCCCAGCTACCTGGTGACCACATGGCTTCTGGACAGAGGCCTATCGGTGGGCCCCCCTGTGAGTGGCAAGGCCGTGACTCCCAGCTGGACTCAAGGTGGAATTTTGGACAATGGGTCCGTTGTCTCCTAGGTCCCAGTCGGCCAGGCCGCCCTGTGGTAACCCTGTCCTGTGGGTCCTTTTCAGGTTGAACCATGATTCCAGTGACGGAGCTCCGATACTTTGCGGACACACAGCCAGCATACCGGATCCTGAAGCCATGGTGGGACGTGTTCACCGACTACATCTCCATTGTCATGCTGATGATCGCGGTCTTCGGGGGCACACTGCAGGTCACCCAGGACAAGATGATCTGCCTGCCTTGTAAATGGGTCACCAAGGACTCCTGCAATGACTCCTTCCGGGGCTGGGCAGCCCCGGGCCCAGAGCCCACCTACCCCAACACCACATTGCTGCCGACCCCTGGCCCGGGCCCCACGGGCATCAAGTACGACCTGGACCGGCACCAGTACAACTACGTGGACGCCGTCTGCTATGAGAACCGCCTGCACTGGTTCGCCAAGTACTTCCCCTACCTGGTGCTTCTGCACACGCTCATCTTCCTGGCCTGCAGCAACTTCTGGTTCAAGTTCCCACGCACCAGCTCGAAGCTGGAGCACTTCGTGTCTATCCTGCTCAAGTGCTTCGACTCACCCTGGACCACCCGGGCCCTGTCCGAGACGGTGGTGGAAGAGAGCGACCCCAAGCCGGCCTTCAGCAAGATGAATGGCTCCATGGACAAGAAGTCATCGACAGTCAGCGAAGACGTGGAGGCCACCGTGCCCATGCTGCAGCGGACCAAGTCCCGGATCGAGCAGGGCATCGTGGACCGCTCGGAGACGGGTGTGCTGGACAAGAAGGAGGGGGAGCAGGCCAAGGCGCTCTTTGAGAAGGTGAAGAAGTTCCGTACCCACGTGGAGGAGGGGGACATCGTGTACCGCCTGTACATGAGGCAGACCATCATCAAGGTGATCAAGTTCATCCTCATCATCTGCTACACCGTCTACTACGTGCACAACATCAAGTTCGACGTGGACTGCACCGTGGACATCGAGAGCCTGACGGGCTACCGCACCTACCGCTGTGCCCACCCCCTGGCCACGCTCTTCAAGATCCTGGCGTCCTTCTACATCAGCCTGGTCATCTTCTACGGGCTCATCTGCATGTACACGCTGTGGTGGATGCTGCGGCGCTCTCTCAAGAAGTACTCGTTCGAGTCCATCCGCGAGGAGAGCAGCTACAGCGACATCCCCGACGTCAAGAACGACTTCGCCTTCATGCTGCACCTCATCGACCAGTACGACCCGCTCTACTCGAAGCGCTTCGCCGTCTTCCTCTCGGAGGTGAGCGAGAACAAGCTACGGCAGCTGAACCTCAACAACGAGTGGACGCTGGACAAGCTGCGGCAGCGGCTCACCAAGAACGCGCAGGACAAGCTGGAGCTGCACCTGTTCATGCTCAGCGGCATCCCCGACACCGTGTTCGACCTGGTGGAGCTGGAGGTGCTGAAGCTGGAGCTGATCCCGGACGTGACCATCCCGCCCAGCATCGCCCAGCTCACAGGCCTCAAGGAGCTGTGGCTGTACCACACGGCGGCCAAGATCGAGGCGCCTGCCCTGGCCTTCCTGCGTGAGAACCTGCGGGCCCTGCACATCAAGTTCACGGACATCAAGGAGATCCCGTTGTGGATCTACAGCCTGAAGACCCTGGAGGAGTTGCACCTGACGGGGAACCTGAGCGCCGAGAACAACCGCTACATCGTCATCGACGGGCTGCGCGAGCTCAAGCGCCTCAAGGTGCTGCGGCTCAAGAGCAACCTGAGCAAGCTGCCGCAGGTGGTCACCGACGTGGGCGTGCACCTGCAGAAGCTGTCCATCAACAACGAGGGCACCAAGCTCATCGTCCTCAACAGCCTCAAGAAGATGGTGAACCTGACTGAGCTGGAGCTGATCCGCTGCGACCTGGAGCGGATCCCGCACTCCATCTTCAGCCTCCACAACCTGCAGGAGATCGACCTCAAGGACAACAACCTCAAGACCATCGAGGAGATCATCAGCTTCCAGCACCTACACCGCCTCACCTGCCTTAAGCTGTGGTACAACCACATCGCCTACATCCCCATCCAGATCGGCAACCTCACGAGCCTCGAGCGCCTCTACCTGAACCGCAACAAGATCGAGAAGATCCCCACCCAGCTCTTCTACTGCCGCAAGCTGCGCTACCTGGACCTCAGCCACAACAACCTGACCTTCCTCCCCGCCGACATTGGCCTCCTGCAGAACCTCCAGAACCTGGCTGTCACGGCCAACCGGGTGAGGGGCCTGGCCGTGGCTCTGGGGAGGGGGGTGGGCGGTTTGCTCAGGAGGCGCAGCGTCTCGGGGTGGTCGGGTCCTCACCCATGGTTCCCAGAACCATCCAGGAGGGGCTTGTTGGGAATACAGATTCCTGGGGGCCCCCCTGCCCCGACCTGTTGACTCGGGATCTCTGGGCCGGGGACCCTGTCTTTGCCACAGAATGTTGCAGAGTCCTCCTCCCGGGAGGGATGGTGTCGTCAGGCGGGGTCGGTCCCCCGAGGTGACTTGGGGTGGGTTTCTCATAGGCAGGGACGTGCAGGGACAAGAGGTCCCAGGGCTGGGTTGTGGGAGGCAGGACTTAGCCTGGAGCCTGTTCTAGACCACATCTGGAGCCGAGGGGCCAGTCTGGGTCCACGAGGGACAGAAACCGTGGGTGGCTGGTGCTCACCGAGGCCAAGCCGGGTGGTCTCTGCAGCTCTTGGCCCCGCTCACACCCTTCCCCCTCTGCTTGTCACCACCTGCCTTTCTGGAGAGGAAATTGTGCAAACCATCTCAGGCCGGCAGTATGGGAGGCCACGCCTTGGGAGACGCCCAGGAAACCATTGGTAGCCCTGTGTACCAGCCCCTTGCCTGGCCAGGGAAGCCCCCCACCCACAGGCCCCTTCTCAGAGGCAGGCGGGTGGGGTTGAGGGCCGGCTGATCCTGTGGCTTTGTGGTCTGGCCCCTGTAGTGCAAACTGAGCTGCAGCCACTGGAAGGACCGCCCCCTGCCCACCCCTCCTGGGGACCTGCGGAAAGGTAACCCGTTCCCGGTTCCTACTTTCAAGGTGGAGACACAGTGAGGCAGGTGGTGGTGGGAGCCCAAAGCCCGGGGTGTGGACTGTGGAGACCTGGTTCAGACACCACCCTGCAGCTCCCCTGCAAACGGTGGCACGAAGTAGCCCACGCCGTGCGGGGCACGATGCTCCCGACAGGAACTCTCTCCAGCAGCCTCAGATGCAGAGGCGGGCGGTCCCCTGAAATGCACCCCCCGCCCAGCCCCCGGCCCCAGGAAGGGACACACCTTCTCCAACGTCACTCAGATTGGAGGGTCTGGGCCCCCCTCCCCTCTTCCCTAAGCCTCTCTTACTGCAAACCAACCTGACTCTTCCATGTATCAGAGAGTTTGACTCTGATACATGGAAGAGTCACAAACTCTATCTTCCTCCCCCAAATTATGACTGTGAGTGGCCAAGGACGAAGGTCAGATCCCATATTGCTTCACGTGGGAGCATCTGCCCCCAGGGCCTG